GAGAGGAGCATGTTGTGTGGGAAATGAGACGAGTGTAGGTGCTTGGAGTGCAGGGGGAGAGGAGGTGGTTTTTGTAGAGAAATCGGGAAAGAAGCCGGTTTCTCCGTGGGCGCCGGTGACACCGCACAGTGTGGCTGCAGAGGAGACGAGGCCTGTGCCGGTGACAGGACGCGGGGTTGCGTGTGTCAGCCCCGGGGTCTCCGGGTGCACAGTCGGCCGTGCCTTTAACCCTCCGCACACGTGACCTGACCTGCCTGGACCCTCTGGCACAGCCAGGACGCGGTGTTGGTGCTGATGGGCTTCCCAAGGACCCTCGGCACCCTCCCCCGGAAGTTTTGATTATTGATGATAGATTAACAGACGCATTAACTCCCCGCTTCCTGCCCATTTAGATGAGAACAATTAGCTTAGATTTGTCTGAAAAAGAGGAAACAGCCCCGAGGGCCTGCGAGGGTCTGAAGGAGGTGACTGCTCCCTTTGGACCCTTTGGAATTCCGCTCTGGCTTCTCCCAGGCGAGGTCAGAACGGTGAGAGCTGGGGGGCCGACCTCCTCTGCCGGTGGGAACAAGGATCGGGACGTCGGGGTCTCGGCGAACTCTCCGCTTCCGCGAGGGGCACTCCGTTGGCGCCCCTCCTTCCTGTGACCCTTTGAATCTTAGTGATTCTCGCGACTTGGGTTACGTGCTGAACGCTCAGCCTCTCCCAGCAGCTCAGGGCCGCGCTCGTGGGTGTGCATTTTATTTTTACTTTCTCCCGCCATGTAGGTGATCTGTTTTCTAAGGCTGCCGCTGAAATCGTTTGCTCTCGGGCGCTTTTTAAACAACGGTGACATAGTGAGAAGAAGATTAGGTGGGCCCGCCGTAATGATTATAATTAAGTGAAGCTGGAAACTCAGTGGGGAGAGGGGCCTATCGCCAGGGAGAAGGCGCCCCTGCCCCTCGGGTTGACAATCACGTCTTTAACCACAGGCTCTGCAGCTCTGAGGGAGGGAGACCTGGAGGGGGAGCGGCTCTGAGGGAGGGAGACCTGGAGGGGGAGCGGCTCTGAGGGAGGGAGACCTGGAGGGGGAGTGGCTCTGAGGGAGGGAGACCTGGAGGGGGGGGGGCTCTGAGGGAGGGAGACCTGGAGGGGGGGGGGCTCTGAGGGAGGGAGACCTGGAGGGGGGGGGGCTCTGAGGGAGGGAGACCTGGAGGGGGGGGGGCTCTGAGGGAGGGAGACCTGGAGGGGGGGGGGCTCTGAGGGAGGGAGACCTGGAGGGGGGGGGGCTCTGAGGGAGGGAGACCTGGAGGGGGGGGGGCTCTGAGGGAGGGAGACCTGGAGGGGGGGGGGCTCTGAGGGAGGGAGACCTGGAGGGGGGGGGGCTCTGAGGGAGGGAGACCTGGAGGGGGGGGGGCTCTGAGGGAGGGAGACCTGGAGGGGGGGGGGCTCTGAGGGAGGGAGACCTGGAGGGGGGGGGGCTCTGAGGGAGGGAGACCTGGAGGGGGGGGGGCTCTGAGGGAGGGAGACCTGGAGGGGGGGGGGCTCTGAGGGAGGGAGACCTGGAGGGGGGGGGGCTCTGAGGGAGGGAGACCTGGAGGGGGGGGGGCTCTGAGGGAGGGAGACCTGGAGGGGGGGGGGCTCTGAGGGAGGGAGACCTGGAGGGGGGGGGGCTCTGAGGGAGGGAGACCTGGAGGGGGGGGGGCTCTGAGGGAGGGAGACCTGGAGGGGGGGGGGCTCTGAGGGAGGAAGACCTGGAGGGGGAGCGGCTCTGAGGGAGGAAGACCTGGAGGGGGAGCAGCTCTGAGGGAGGGAGACCTGGAGGGGCGGGGTGTGTGGATGTGGGTGCTTCTGGCAGTCAGCAGGGGTGCCCTGGTCAAACTTGACACACAGAAGTCCAGAGTGTCCTCTCTTAAGTCACGGGCAGGTGGTTCTTTGTCATGGTCCCTTTATTGGGGGAAGACGAGTTGTTTGTGCCCCTGGAATGGTTTTGAGTTTTTTGTTTTTGTTTTGATTTTAATGCTGTTTTTGCTGCTGCTTGTGCCGGGGCCACACAACCCAGGTGGAGGAAGGAGGGTGAGGGATGGAGAAGGAGGGTGAGGGACAGGAGGGCCAGCCAATGGGCACCCCCTTCTCAGCTCTGGGGCGCCCGGGAGGAGGTGGTGAGCTGGTAAACAGTGATGAAACCAGACTCCGAGGCTTCTCCCGGGGGGAATGTGTGATAGGACCCGTGGGACTGGGAGTCGGAGGATCCGCCTGTTCATGGGCGGATCTTCCTTCTTCTCTGGGCGGTTCAGCTGCGGGGCCTGCGGAGAGCAGCCTGGCAGGTGCCTGCGGGTGTGTGTCAGGGTGAAGCCACGCAGTTTCACTGTTGAATTGTCTGAAGTTTCTAGCTCTGGCCCTGGTGTGTGTGTGTGCGCGCGCGCACACACGTGTGTATCACACAAACATCAACATCAATCGTTTTTCCAGTTTGAGCTCCTGTGCAGGCCTGCGTGTGCCCTGGGTCTGTAAGGTGACCTGGGGCCCAGGCGTGGGGTCCTCAGGGGAAGACGAGTGGTGGCCGAGTGTGACTTTGCCGATCACTTTTTCTGACGTTGGTGTTCGTTGTCTCAGCACATTTGTGACACGAATATTGTTATCACGTGTGAGAAAATGAAGCACCGTCCTGCAGTGGAAACGTTTTAGAAAGACCCACCCATAATCCCAACCCAGCCTCCGACGCCAGCGCTAGCGCCGTATGTTGGCAGCCGCTCCACGGGACGGAGCAGATGGGCAGCAGAGTTCTTAAGACGCGGAGTGAGCTGGGCTTACGGCCCATTGGATGTGTCCACAACCCAAAGGCTCCGAGAACTTGTGACATGAACCTTCCCAGCAGGTGGATGAATACAAATTCCCGCTGGAGTTCCCTGCATGTGCTGCGGGAGGCGCCATGGCTCGGACACGAGGCTCATCAGTCCTGTCCTCAAACTTTACCTTTTATTGTTTTTTAAAGGGCAGCTTCATTGAGATATAATGGGTGCAGTTTGACATACAAACCTTCAAATTCTCACCACCATCAAGATGGTGAACACACTCATCACCCCCAGTTTCCTGGTCCCCCCTCCTCCATCTCTCCATCCTCCTGAAGCGACCACTGACCTAATTATTGTTCCTATAAAATAGTTGGAATTTACTAGAATTTTGTAAACGGAACCATACGACATGTCCTGTCTTTGTTGGTGTTCCTTCACTAAGCGTAGTCACGGGTGACTACCATGGGTGAGCACCTGTCTTTGTTGGTGTTCCTTCACTAAGCGTAGTCACTCTGAGAGTCGTTCCTGCTGTTGTGTGTTGATGGAAAGTGCCTTTTCATCGCCGAACACATGACATTGTGTGGTCCCACCGCAGTTTGTCTGTTCGTCTGTTGGTGGGCATTTTGGTTGTGTAAGTTCTTGCTATTAAAGATGAGCTGCTAGACATGTCCATACACAAGTCTGTGTGTGGACATGTGCTTTCCTTTTTCCGGTAAATACTGAGGAGTGCAACGGTGGGAGCATCGCATTTTAATCGGGAAGAGCCCCGATCCCCTCACCGTGAGCTGTGTGCCCTTCATCTCATAGACATCATAGTTGTGGTCGGTAACACTGTCCGTCTGCCTTTGCCCTCTGAGCAGAAGAGCCCAGTGAACATCCTGTATTCAGGTTGTGCCCGGCATCATTCAAGTTCTTGCCTTGGAAGCCGGCAGCCGCATCGGAGGCTGACGACAAGGAACAGAGGGATTCGGGGAGGGACGATGAGAAGGCTCACAGCTCAGCAGCTGCACCGCCAGCTTGTGGAAGGGGAGGGGCCAGGAAACGAGGGAACCCGGTGGGTGGGGCTCCTAGAGTCTCTCAGAGGGTTCAGCTCCAGCAACCTGAGCCTCTGTGTGGGTATCTTTTTTATTATTATTATAAATATATTTTTATTGATGTCAGAGAGGAAGGGAGAGGGAGAGATAGAAAGATCAATGATGAGAGTGAATCATTGATCACCTGCCCCCTGCCCCCACACTGGGAGAGGGAGAGATAGAAAGATCAATGATGAGAGAGAATCATTGATCACCTGCCCCCTGCACGCCCCACACTGGGGATCGAACCCACAACCTGATGATGTGCCCTGACCAGGAATTGAACTGTGACCTCCTGGTTCATAGGTTGACGCTCAACCATTGAGCCACGCCGGCCGGGTTTTTTTTTTTTTTCCATCATGTTTGATTTTTTCCATTTTCTATTAGCCTCTGTGTGTCTCTATTCACATTGCGAGGTCCTGACAGAAATCTCTCAGGCCCCCACGAGTGAGATGCTTCACCGGTGGCCCAGCCCCTGTGTCTAGGGGTGGGGGGCAGGCGGCCGGGGGGCCAGTTTTGAATTGAGCAGCAGCTGCTTGTCCTCCACACGTAAACGTTTTCTGCACTAAGTGGGCCTGTGCAGGTACCGTTGGGTGAGAGCCCATCGTGTCATAGATACTCCAGCCTGTCAGTTTTCCAGGCGTTACACCTCCCGTTGGAGCTGGCAGCCATGGCTGGGCATCGGCGTGTAGGGACACTCCCGCTCCCTCCTGAAGCTGCTGTTATTATATAGGATTTAGGTTCGCAATGAGGGTCACACCGCACGTTCCTGGAATTAGACTGACCCCCGACTCACTGTAACCTGGTGTGGAGGTGGCTTGGAACCCCGAATGCATGGGGTTTTAGGAAGAATTGAATCTGCCGGAAGGTTTTCCACCCCCTCCTGGGCACCCATCCACACACCCCTGTCTCCTGAGTTGGCCAGCAGCTTGCACCGCCGCTCGCAGGCCCGGGAGGTGTGTGGACGCCGGGACATGCGCTCCGGGTCTGACGGCCGCGCTCCCTGCTTCCCTCCAGGGTCCGTGTTCACGCTGAAGGTCCAGGTGAATGACATCATCAGCCGCCAGCCCCTGAGCCGCGCGGTGGTCGAGGTGTTTGTCAACCACACGAAGACGAATTCCGCCACCACCGGGAGCCAGGGCTCCGTGCTGGTCCGCGTGCCCTTCGCGCTGGGCCTCGGTAAGCGAGGGGCGGGGTGCCCGTCCCAGCCGCGCCCTCCGCCCTCCGGGGGCCTCGGTTCTGCTAACTGCACAGGAATGTCTGTGGGATCATACAGCGCGGGTCAGAAGGAGTGCCCGTTCCCTTTCCTCTCAAATATATTTTATTGATCTCAGCCAGGAAGGGAGAGGGAGAGGGAGATGGAAACATCCATGATGACAGTCATGGACTGGCTGCCTCCTGCAAACCCCACCCCGGGGGTCGAGCCGCCACCCGGGCATGTGCCCTGACCAGGAATCGAACCCTGACCTCCTGGTTCATAGGTGGACACCCAACCCCACCGGCCTGGCTCACAGTTTGCTTTTTACCACTTTTTAGGGTCTTGCTGGAGCAGAACTATGCATGTCTGCCCCCCCCCCCCCCCCCCCGCTTTCGTAGTAACGTCTCTCCATTGTGCTGTATTTCACAGTATATTCATCAGTGACGCTTTCACTGTTCCCGCAAAGCCAAGCAAATATATGGCTGTTTGAAGACACCGTTTTAATTACTGGGAAATTAGCCGGTAAGTGTAACGCTTTCTCCTCGGCTAACAAGTCCACAGTTGAGGTGGTGACTCTGACAACTGCACGTCCGCAGGGACGAGGCACTGTGGGTCCTAAGGTGGGAAAATCTAATGGATCAGGTTGTGTTTTCTTCCAGATGCCAAATCTCAACCAAGCGCCCAGTTTTCAAAAGCCTTCATCCAGCTCCCGGACCGCCACCACCTGGGCAACGTGACCGGCTACCTCACCGTCCTGCAGCAGTTTCTGAAAATGGACAGTTTCCTGTATACGACCGGAGTCACGCTGAACAAATCAGGTGCTGTCTCCTTTCTCGCAGGAGAGTCATCTGTAGGAGACAGTACCCAAGCCTCTCGTCAAAGCTGCCGCAGCGATTTAGGTCGGACGCTCGCTGAGGCTCGGGGGGTGCGTGGCACTTCGGAAACACAGGCCAGTGGTTAGATCAGGGGTGGGCAAACTTTTTGACTCGAGGGCCACAATGGGTTCTTAAACTGGACCGGAGGGCCGGAACAAAAGCATGGATGGAGTGTTTGTGTGAACTAATATAAATTCAAAGTAAACATCATTACATAAAAGGGTACCGTCTTTTTTTTTTTAGTTTTATTCATTTCAAACGGGCGGATCCGGCCCGCGGGCTGTAGTTTGCCCACGGCTGGGTTAGATGCTACAAGCACTCGATCCGCTCGTATGCAGGGGGAGAAAGGTTAACAAAGCCTTCTGCACACCCTCCTCCAAATTTTACCGCAAAGAGGTCAAAACAGGTGTCGAAAATAGCAATGATTGTTGTGTGACCTTGTAAATTAAAAAATACATTTAAAAATGGAAATTTGATTTAGAGCAGTGGTTCTCAACCTTCTGGCCCTTTAAATACAGTTCCTCATGTTGTGACCCAACCATAAAATTATTTTCGTTGCTACTTCCTAACTGTCATGTTGCTACTGTTATGAATCGTCATGTAAATATCTGAGATGCAGGATGGTCTTAGGCGACCCCTGTGAAAGGGTCGTTCGACCGCCAAAGGGGTCGCGACCCACAGGTTGAGAACCGCTAATTTAGATCAGTGTGCACATGTCTTTTTATAATTTTTTTGCACCTTCTGTGCGTCCTTATCACATGGGTGAGAAGTGTCCGTCACGGGCAGCCCCGGCTGAACGAGAGGAGCCAGGTGTGGGGCCCATACGCATGCTGCTGACAGGTCACCACACCCGTGTTCCCGTCGACGTTAATAAACGGCCTTTTTCAGGTTTTGAGAGCATCGAGCTGACGCCGCTGGCCGCGGTGTGCGTGAAGATGTACTCGGGCGGCAGGGAGCTCCAGGTGGCCGGCTCCGTGCAGCTTTCGCTCCCACTTCTCCACCCCCAGGGCGTGAGGGCGGGGGACCCCCTCCCCGCCTGGACCTTTGACATGAACACAGGTGTGTGACGAGAGAGGCGTTCTGGATGCTTTTCTTGTGAATGTTGGATCTTAGAAGTAGGTTTCTGCACTTTTGTTTCAGCTTTATTGAAGTGTCACTGACAAGTGAAGTTGCTCTATTTCAGTGTAAAGTAACTCAAAAGGCCTCATGATGGAAACAGCCCACGCACCAGGGTTGTTTGTAAGCACATCCCTTACTTGGGCCTCAGCTTCCTACACGTTGAGTGAGAGGTTGTTTGAAATCACTTTGAAGAAGATCTTCTTGTTTGAGTCCTGATTTCAGGTTATTCCTCCTGGCAAAGGCCGTTGCCTCTACTGTACCTTCCAGCGAAAAGAATTTTTGGGTTGATTTATCACATATGCAAACACTGCATACACTATACCTGCCTAAAGGGAATCCCAGAACAGGTGGCAGATAACCAACCACCTGTCGGATTTCACTACTCGCATCCTTACGATAATCTCAATAGGCACAATTTAAATATATGTTTATTGACTTCAGAGAGGAAGGCAGAGGGAGAGAGAGATAAAACATTGATCATGAGAGAGAACCATCGATCGGCTGCCTCCTGCACACCCCACACTGGGGATGGAGCCCACAACACAGACATGTGCCCTGACCGGGAATCAAACCATGACCTCCTGGTTCATGGGTCAACACTCAGCCATCGAGCCACACCGGTTGGGCTCAATAGGCACATTTTAAACATTATTTGGAGAGTTACGATTTCCTAAAACATCCTGTATTTATTTGTAATGATTTTATTTTGTGTAGTCATAACAAATCATTCAAATCATTTTATTTAATATCTTATTATCATAGGTACTATAGTACCATGTGACATATGATGTATATATTATCCCATGGTAACATTGCTACAGGTTTCATAATTTTTGAAAAAGTCCTGCAAGGTGCTCTCTACATGACTATCAGCAAACTCCTCCAGCTCTAAAGGGACAGATACCGACTATAACTGCTTGGCGTCTTCACTTACCTTTCTTGTAGGTACTTGGATCAGTCACGGCCGGGGAGTGGTCAAGGACTACAATAATCATTTAATCTGGACGTACGACGCGCCGCATCTGGGCTACTGGATAGCAGCTCCGCTTCCAGGAACTAGAGGTTTGTAAAAATGAAACAAAAAGTAATTAAACGCGACCCCCAAGCAGCCACGCTGGCACTGACGGCGGCCGACCTCGTTATGAGCATCGCGCTCGCTGAGGTGCATCGTGCACACGGCTTCCGGGCTCTGGGTGTCCACTTCGTCTGCTCCGTGGTCATAAGAAAAGTTAGGCTCCGTGAGCTCTAAGGTCTCTTGGAGCTACGATAGCTGGTGAATATGAAGTTTGTTCAGATCAAGTCTTCCCTTTCTCTCTCTCTCTCTCTCTCTCTCTCTCTTTCTTTTTTTAAGTGAGCCAGGTCTTTATAGTAGATATAGCAGGAGTTAAATTTTCTCAGGGAGCACCATCAGAGATCACAGAACATCTATATGTATAAAAGCCTAAGCGACCGTCTGAATGTTCAACCATCTGACCAGTAGCTATGACGCACAATGACCACCAGGGGGCAGATGTTCAATGTAGGAGCTGCCGAGCTGTGGTGACTTGGCAGCTGCGGTTCTCGGGTGATGCACCCAGAACCAGAGAGGAGAGAGCTCGATTCTGGGATGCATCATCCGAGAACCGCCCTCTCGCAATCCAGGACCCCTTGGGGGGTGTCAGAGAGCCGGTTTTGGCTCAATCCTCGCAGGCCAGGCCGAGGGACCCCGCCGTGCACCGGGCCTCTAGTTTCCATATAAAACATGAACTTCGCAATTACAGCTTTCTTTCATACGTTTCAGCGAGTAGCTGAGAGTTCTTGTTGTCTTGATGTGATAACTCAGCTAAATAGTTGCTAAGGAGATATGCGCTCAAAACGGTGGGTACAAACAGGGGAGTTGAATAAAAGCAGAAAAAAAAGTCATTCCCTGTCGTCTAGTACAGCGGTCGCCAACTGGTGGTCCACGAGGTCTGAAAGGTTGGTGACTGCTGGTCTGGGAGTAAAGAAAAGATAAAACCAGTCAGCAGATCAGCAAGGAACAGAGTTACGGTGCCAGAGCCCAGATCGGGGTCAGGGCATCTGGTGGGAGTCGTGCCCGGTGTTGCTGGATGGCTTCAGGCAGCCCTTCTGGGCCACCGTTCCTCCTCCTGCAGCGACAGCGTGAGACCCACAGTACGAACGGGGTTGGTTTCCTCGTGCAGCCAGGTTTCTGAAGGCCGAGAGGACACGCTCTCTTTTCTGAGTTCACTTTTTGTGAATAAATTCTGCCCAGACCAGTGAGAGCACCTGGTTGCCGGGAGGGGGACAGGCTCTGGGTGACTGAGACGCAGTGAGGGCGAGGGGGGCCCACGGGGCGCTGGGGAGGCCGAGGAAGCAGGTGCCAGGAGGAGGTCCCCGC